TTGGGCTATAGGTTGTCCTAAAGCCCACATAATTAGGTTTAGCCTAATTATAAATATGTGGGTATCTCTTTATCAGTTGTAAGATATCAGATAATTGAGATACGCCGCAAAACATAAACTCTCCTTGCTTTCTGACTGAGGATTCCTAGCGTCTTCACCAGAAGGGATTCACTGCGTTGGATCGTGCACCGGGATCTGGATTGCGTGGATACCATAGTTGAAGACAAAGCTTAAACTGTAAGTTCTCGCGATCTAGGATCAAAATCGAATAGCTTTAACCGGATCTTCTTGTTGGTAAGAAAACTTTAATATTTCGCTGCGTGTGCGATTGATTCGTACGACAAAAATCCAACATATGTTCAATTTGAATCAAAGTTTGAACAAAAAAACTTATTTTTCATAAATTATAGATCTTAAACTTAAATTATAAATACACAAAATCTCATTTTTTTCTTAAATAAAATGTAGGTTGACACGAATTCTAAGTTCTTAAAAACTTGAAGGTACATATACTAATATTTATATTTATAAGTAAACACAACTTTATATGAAATGATCGTTTCTACGTAAATTACAAAATCGTTATTTCACATTAAAAATCGGCCTCCCCTGAGTTAAAATCTTAGCTCTGTCATTGTATATATATATAGATATAGATATAAATTCTAGTATGTTATTATCGATACATTATGTTTTATGCATGGATTAGCAAAATATTGATGAATTATTTCGTGTATTTTCATAAGCATTCACCTAATTTGGAATCCTTATATTTTGATAATGATATGTAAGTATATGATTTAGACAATAAAATATCCAAACAAAAGATTAAGAGGTGCCTATATAGCATTTCGGTTCTCAAAAATCAAAATATATTATTATTAACTTAATTAGGAGTTGATTGTTAACGAGTTAGAACTGGTCAAAATCAATTTTGACTGGATCAATTTTTATTTATTTTTTTAAATTTTAACTCCACGTCAAACTCAACCTCACTATCATCAATATTATCAGTATAATTAAATAATATCAATCATTTATCTCCTGTATCACACAAACTTTAATTTAGTATTCATCCACTCACATATTTTTAACTACATATCACTTCATCATTTTTATTCTTATTTTTACATTCCATCAACTTTAATCATTATATTTTAAATATTATTTAATTACAATATTCCTCGTCTCAATTAATCAATTTTATTTAAAATAACTTATTACTTTAACTCAGCATCCAATCTTGATCTATTTTAATTGATTATGACTGCCTACCAATCAGATGTCTTTTTGAAAATGAGATGATCCCAATATTTTGGACTAAAAGCAAAAATACCCATAAAAAATAATATGGATTTGGAAAATTAGTGTATAAAAAAAGTGCCAGCATAATTGATAATATGAAATTGTCTAACACCTATATCTATATATCTATGTAAAAACTAAAAAGAAAGGAACTTATTTACCAAAAATAGTAACAAAAAATTCTGTCAAAATTTTTTACATGTCACTTTGGAAAATTATTTGAATTTTATTTATCATAAAATCAGAAAGCATTAAATGCTCCCTTATAATCATATTCCTAATAAACATTAAATTTGCTTATCTTCCATATAATCATATTCCTAATAAACATTAAATTTGCTTATATAATTTTAAATTAATTACATCAATAAATAATATTAATATAAATATTTTTTATTACATAAAAAAATAAAATTATTTCCATAAGTGTTATAAATAATAATGACATTATACGACAATAAGTTTTTAAATAAAATAATATTTGAATCTTATGATGAACTAAAATATGTAATATTATTATTTTTTTGTATTAAAAAATAAATATATATGTTAAAATATTATTTATGTTAATATAAATGGGCCAACGTGCTAATATATTGTTAAAATAAAGTTTTAAAAAAATATTTTAAAATACAAAATTTTATGCATCACACGGGATACTCACTAGTTTTGATGAATTCTGTAAACAATCTACAAAACTTTTATGACAGCACAAAATTTCAGCAGCTATATAAACTCGTGTGGCTCAATCAAACAACAAATGCACACAAAGAGGAAAAACATACACACACAAAACATATAATAACAGTAATGGCCTCACTCTTCACTATCTTAGGTACCCTCTCATTGTCCTTACTGTGCATTTGCCGTGCTGATCTCATATCCGACGTGTGCTCCGCAACCATAATCCCGGATTTCTGCACCGAAACCCTAAGATCCGACCAGGCCGCTCGTGCGGCGCCCGACGCCAAAAGCCTCGGCTTAATCGTCATCAGAATAGCTAAATCAGCCATCCGAGACCTCATTGCAGTCACGAAGAAGATTGGTGGCCCACGCGTGGAATGCGTTGAGATGGACGATTCTGCCATAGAAGACCTTGACGAGATCTTGGATTACTTGACAATACCCGACAGCACCATGATCGTGACCAAGGACGATTTTCTTGACCATGTCTCGGGAGTTAACATTGATATGGAAACTTGTGAAGATGATTTTAGAGGTGGTGAGCCGGCGCCGGCTGATCTGAAAGCGGCCACGGACCGGGCAGAGAGAACCGTTATGATATTGTATGGTATCGGGAACAAATTGTTTGAGTAACAGGGAAAACAGTGGGAACGAATAAAACTTCCATCAATTCTAATTGGATTGAGTTTCTATATGTGTTGGGTGATTCTTCTTCTGACTTGTGTTTTTGTTGGGAATTAGATGACACATTGATTGATTCAACAACATACTAATAATTGGACCTATTAAATTACTAATTCAATGGTTTATTAGTCGGACCATCAAACGGTTGGATAACTGTTATGTAATTAAGTTATTAATATCTTGAAGGACAAAGTCCACTTTTGGTCCTCCATGTTTAGGGGGTATCCAGACTGAGTCCCCATTATGTTTTGCTGCCCAATTTTAGTCCTTAAAACAAAAAAATGTAGTCCCTATTATGTTTTGGTGCCCAATTTTAGTCCTTAAAACAAAAAATGTAGTCCTTATTATGTTTTGGTGCCCAATTTTAGTCCTTAAAACAAAAAATGTAGTCCCTATTATGTTTTCGTGCCCAATTTTAGTTAAAACAAATAAATATAGTCCCTATTATGTTTGGGTGCCCAATTTTAGTCCTAAAAATAAAAAATGTAGTCCATATTATGTTTTGGTGCCCAATTTTAGTCCTAAAAACCAAAAAATGTAGTCCCTTAATCTCAATTTATGTGAATTAACGGCCCATTTTTGTTAATAACATCAAAGTAGTTGTGTAAAATAATTTAAAACATCGGAAAGATGTAATCAAATTTCAAAGGAACAAATTATTGACCTGATTATAAAAATTATGGTACATTCATT